CATGGTGTCGGGGGTCTTCCCCTTAACCACATCTTTCGTGTTGCCCAGTTCTCATTGGAGTTCGCAAAATTTTTGCTCCCACAAGTGATCCATGGCATCTAGTGGGGGGAGGGGTCTATCTTCTCGATAGGCGACTCTAGCTCGACTGTGGGCCTTGTCTTCATCGGGTTCCTTCAGATGTCTCCTTCGGTGATTCTCTCTAGAATGGCTATATTCATGGAGCTCCGTGACTCCATTAGGCGGAGCTTGGTGCTCCTGAGACAAGGCGTCGTGTTGCGCCAAGGGTGGAGGGGGCTCCAGACGTGCTGGCGGGAACTGCGGAATCTGGTGTGTCTGTATCCACGTCATCAGTTCTTAGTTTTGCTTTATCAGTTGCATTATGGTTCGACAATAAGCTTTCAGTTCATTAATCAGAGAGAGATCCACCGCTGGAGGGTGATTCTCAACGTCCACTTCGGGGGCCGAAAAGTTCTCCAGTAAGTTTTGGTGACTTTGGGGATTGACGTGAGATTTACTCATGTTCCAAGTTGAAACCATCAAACTAAAAACTCAAAGCAAAACGATGAAAATCCTTCCCATAGACGAAGCCAGCTGATGATGCTCAGAAATAATAGTCCAAGCCCAACAACTAATGTTTCAGGGGATAATAGTGGATAGGTTGATTAAGGAGTCAATCTAAGAAGAACCAAAGATTAAGGAGTTAATCTATGAAGAACCAAAGAACACAATATGTAAGTGGTTCACCTCAGTCGAAGGACTAAGGCTACGTCCACTATAAGGAAGTCTCTTACTCCTTGAGATCTTATATTACTTAATCGTTGGCGAATAAAATGGTATTACAGTCACTAGGGGTGTTCACTCTACCCTACGGGTAAGAAATTTAGTCTTCCATCTCAATACTTTGCAGAAGAATTATTTCTTGGTCTACCCTACTCGATCAGGTGTGGTATTCCTACCCGACTTTCTATCCAATTAATCGGGTAGGAAGTCGGGTAAGAAATCGGATAAACACTTTTGTAGTTATTAATTTTTAGATCATTTTAATAATTCAATTAAATAATATGCACCAATTTAACAACACAATAAATCAATAACACTAAAACCTAAAACAAATACAATAAAACACAAGAAAGTATGAACATCAATCCATCATACTTATTACACAAATACAATAACAATCATTTTAAATTTAAATCATATGAAACACATTAAAATCATAACTGCTATAATAGATTACTAGTCTACCACAAATCATGTAACTTACACAAAAAATAAGTTCATGTTTAGGAACTCAAACATCCACAACAATAATAATGTTATAATATAAATTATACTACACAAATACTCTTATAATTACTAAAAAAAATATAAAAAAGTTAAATATATTTTTTGCGGGTAGGGTAGGGTAGGAATGCAAAATTGATGGGTATTCCTCATTCCTACCCAATTTAATTGAAAGACCAAAAATTCTTCCGCATTCCTACCTGATATTTGCAGCTAACCGTTCAGTAGGGTATGGTAAGGTCAGATAGGATAGGAAATTGCAGCTAATCGAAAATTTGAACACCCCTAACAAGCACTGGGATCTTACAAGGAATATACTTCTTGCTATATCTGCTGTGTTGTTGGGTTGGCGAATGCAATGGAGAGGAAGAAGATCTCGTATGATAAAGTAACAGTGTTCTATTTATATGAGTGATCCCCCTCTAGGGTTTTCGGTGGCTCATTCTTCCTTTTTGCTGATTTTATGGGTCCTCCCGCCTTCGTACTATAGCAACCTCTGTCGTCTAGCGTTACTATTCATCCAGCGCCACTGTTCCCACAATCTCTGGATGGTTATGCACACCATCCCCTTTGTTTCAGGGAGTACGTGATCGTCGTAGGTGTCATAAGTAGTCCCTCTG